CTTACCCTATGCAGTCTGAGCCGGAAAGAGACTTAATAATATTAACCAACTCTTTATTACCTTTGTTACAACATTCAGTGTTATGGAAAATAACCATCATGACAGAAATTCACACATTTAGAATCTGTAAGAATTAAAAAGCTACAATTTGAGACCAGAAATGCATCACGTAACTGTAAGAGTAAATAATAATTATAATAATGATGATAATAATAATAATAATAATAATAATAACTATGCACCCGTTTGTAAGGAAGCTTGTAAATGAACTAATTTCTCTATCCAATGCTGTCACGTCACGTGACAAAAGAACGAACGATTCGAAAGACTCGAGAGATGAACTAATCAATTCTTAATCAGAATGTGCTGCGTGTGTGGTCTTTATTAAAAACTGGTTTGACAAAGGTGTAATTTTTGTTTTAGATTTGTTAAAAAAGGATGGTAACTTCTATTCCTATTCTGAATTTTCAGAAATCTTTGAAGTGGATACCTCACCTAGAGTGTATGAATGGGTTATTAATTCTATTTCACCTTTACCAGCACGGAGTGGCTCTTCTAGGGGGCTTTCTTTACATTGTGGGAGGTCAGAGCACTTACGACACCAAGGGTAAGACAGCTGTGGACAGCGCGTACAGGTATGATCCTCGCTTTGACCGCTGGTTGCAGGTGGCCTCTCTGAATGAGAAGAGGACGTTCTTCCATCTGAGCGCTCTTAAGGGGAAGCTGTATGCTGTTGGAGGGAGAAATGCCACTGGGGAGATTGGTAAGAACATGTTTGACCAACTACGCTGTACAAAATGTTCTGTCCTGTCTTAAAATATTGTGGAAAAACAGAAAACTTTCTGTTGTTCAGATTCGGTGGAGTGCTAAAACTTGAACAAGAATGAGTGGACTTTTGTTGCACCGATGAGTGAACCTCACTATGGACACGCTGGCACAGTACATGGAGGTCTGATGTATGTGTCAGATGAGTGTCCACCCTGATGTGAGATCAATGTGAAAAGGACATGCATATTATATGTAGTTAATATGCATCTGTCCCACATAATGAGAAGAGAATCTGTATAATTAAATGTGGCTCACAAAGCACGTGGCCTTAATCCAGCACAGTTCTCTGCGTGAGTCTAATGAATGCAGTGCACAATAATTATTTTATTACTCTTAAAATAGAAGAAGAAAACACTTTTTGGACGTCTCTTAACAACTTTACAACATTCACCTAATGGTGAAGTTCCCAGAACTAGAATCAAAAGTAACATGAAACAGATAACTAGGAAACAGAGCTGCTTCAAGCTGAACTGGGTCACTCATCTGAGGTTAGACCTCAGCCTAAAAAGGGCACTGCAGACTTGTTGTGAAACCATGAGAATGTCCGTGCTTGAAGAATCACAAAGTATTCAATAAACATTATTGAAAATAATGAAATTTAAAGGTGAAAAATTAATTTGTGGTAATGGGAAGATAAAAATTATAATATAAAGCCCCTTTGGGGTAAAATGTAATAATAATATATGATACATTTAATTGTCGTAAATACAGTTATATTACTCTTAAAAATTAAATTATTTTTTTACATTAAATGCTAACTATAAAATTACACTTTTCCAAGCTGCCAATATTCATCCATTTTTACCTCCAAAAAGTTAAAATTATCGGTAACACTTCAGTAAAGGAACCAATTCTCACTTTTACCACGACTGAGGTGCCCTTGAGCAAGGCACCGAACCCCCAACTGCTCCCCGGGCGCCACAGCATAAATGGCTGCCCACTGCTCCAGGTGTGTGTTCACGGTGTGTGTGTTCACTGCTGTGTGTGTGCACTTTGGATGGGATAAATGCAGAGTACTAATTCCGAGTATGGGTCACCATACTTGGCCACATGTCACGTCACTGTCACTTTCACTTTACCTAGTTGCTTATTAGTATGACTATTATTAACATGTTGGCTGTTTATTAGTACTCATAAAGCACATATTCTGCATGACCATATTCTACATCCCTAATCCTACCCAATACCTAAACTAAATAACCACCTTACTATTAATAAGCCTCAAATTAGGAGTTTGAGGCAAAAGTCGTAGTTATGGTTTGTTAATAGCGAGAATTGGACCTTAAAACAAAAGTGTGAACAAATTATAATTTCCAACACAGATGCTATTAAACACAAAACATCATGTGGTGGGACTTTTTTCAGACTTCTCCTGTGATTTATACATTGTCGGTGGATTGTTGAGTTCTGTGTAAGTTTTGGCCTCACAGTATAAGAACAAGTTAAAGGTCCCATACTTCATCTTCGTAACCGCATTTTTTCTGCAGACATGTTTGTTTCTGCAAGAATAAAGAATAAGCTTGCTCTAAAACTTGCATTCGCTCTTTATACAATTAGGCGGTATCACAAGAGATGCTTTCCAGAAAGAGCTGCTGTGTTACAACCCCGATAGAGATGTGTGGAGCAGACGAGCAAATATGATGGAGCTTCGTGGTCTTCACTGCATGTGCACCGTGGGCGACCGCCTTTATGTCATGGGTGGAAACCACTTCCGGGGGACAAATGACTATGATGATGTGCTAAGCTGTGAATTCTACAGCCCTGCAACTGACCAGTGGACAGTGGTGGCTCCGATGCCCAAGGGTCAGAGCGATGTGGGGGTGGCTGTCTTTAAGGACCGCATCTATGTGGTGGGTGGTTACTCCTGGAACAGCAGATGTATGGTGGATATCGTACAGTGTTATGACCCTGAGAAGGATGAGTGGGAGAAGGTCTTCAGTGTCCTGGAGCCTCTCGGAGGCATACGGGCCTGCACTATGACAGTTCATTGCCCAAAAAGTTCAACAGATGAGGCTGAAATACAAGAGTGTCCTCTTTTAACATCCAAAAGCTGAACATATGGTTTAAAATTGCTATTGGCCTTTAAATGTGACATGCTGAAATTAGCTTCACATTGCCAGTGATGTGTATTGTAAAAAAAAAAAGGTTGAATGATTTGATTACTGTACATACCACTTTATTCAAATCTGAGCTGGGGTAAGGGAAAATAATTTGCCTTTATTTGTTTAAATGTGCATGACTTTGTTTAAATGCTGTTCTCTTTCAATGCCTGACGGCCACAGTGCTTAATTTTGCATCTCTAAATTATTCTCTTTTATGTGTAACTTGCTTACTTTGCTTTTATATGCTTATGCTTTTATTATTATTAAAAATAATCTTTTATTTTTTAATGAATTCATTTGTGTTTGGTATCTTTTATGTACATTTCTTAACATAAAATGTCTACTGATTGCATTCAAGCAAAAATAAATAAATAACTAATATTAATTAATATTGCATTTCTTTATTTCTTTCTTTACTTTTCAGTTAAGGGCTAGATAATACACTGTACACATACATAGGATCATGTGACACAGAAAACATTTGTAATTTTGTATTTAACAATATTACTGTTTGTACTGTAATTTCTTCATGGGCTTTTTTTATTCCTTTTTTATTCAGGTAGGACAGTTGAGAGAGGACAGGAAAGCATTAGGTAGAGAGAGGGGGTCAGGATCGGCATAGGACCTCAATTCGGGAAGCGAAACTCGCTGACAATATTTATTTTTTGCATTTTAGCCTTTTATTATGATAGGCCAGATCAGAGCTGACAGGAAGCAAAGTGGGAGAGAGACAGGGGTGAGACCGGGAAAGTAGGTCAGTAGGGTCGACGTGATTTTGCCAAGTAAGACATGTTCCTAGATCAACATTACGGTCCAAAAATATCGATTTAACCCAATCCCAATCCCTACCCCTAAACCTAACCATAATTTATTCCTACAATTAGTGTGAAATGATAGCTGATTAACAAGGGTATAAGCACCTAACCCTGATCATAAGCCTAAAACAGATATTTCCTGAAAAGTTATCCCTCAATTCTGATTGGTTGGTTGGAATGTTGATAAACGGTGAACATCCATGTTGATCCTGGAACATGTTGTACTTGGTGAAATCACGTTCACCGTTTATCAACTCCCATCCCCAGCCCATGGCATTGAGGCTGTCCTTGGCAATAGGGTTTAAAAATGCACCACCATCTCTAAAGGCACATCACATCACTGTGGTTTCCAGACTGCCCTCTGGAACGATTTCATCAAAGCGGCATTTACTACACAGAGCCGTAGTTCAACGTGTAGCCGCTCCATCTGAACGCACGTGCTGGAGATTTACTACTAATCACAGGAGCGGCTTTACTGACGAGATGCGCATGAAAATCGCATTCGATTTTTTGCACAGCCCTATATAATACAAAGTGTTATCCAGGAGTGAAGTGCTGGTGGCACTTGCCATGACTCTGTCAGGAGATGTGTGTGTTGTGACAGGAGCCTGCGGGTTTCTGGGAGAAAAGCTGGTCAGGCTGTTGCTGGAAGAGGAGAAGCTTTCTGAGATCCGACTGCTGGATAGAAACATCCAGTCTGAGCTAATACTGTCTCTTGATGGTAAGTGATACTTCCCTTACAGCATTTCTCATCTCGTATTTCTCCTATTTGCGGGATTCTGTTGGTCATATTTTGTATAGTCTTCCTGTTTTGCACCTGAAAACCGCATTTGCTTGTGAATATTAAGACTAGAGACAATGTAAACCGTTCGGATGCCATTATCACGTGTGTGTGTGGTTTTATTTTTTTACTACTTTTTAAGCAACAAACTGAGGCTTTTGTCAATGTTTCTCTGTTTGTGTCCTCAGATTGCAAGGGAGAAACTAAAGTGAGTGTTTTTGAGGGGGATATCAGGGACTGTGAGCTACTGAGAAGAGCCTGTAAAGGAGCAGCACTTGTTTTCCACACTGTATCTCTCATCGATGTCATTGGAGCAGTTGAATACAGTGAATTATATGGAGTTAATGTCAAAGGTGAGTGTTCTGTGCTGGTCATTAGCACATGGTAACAAGACTCAATCAAAAGACTGAATCTCTTAACTTATGGAATTCTGTAATGCAGTTTTTTTTTTTTTTTTTTTAATGGACTAAAAATACATTGTGGACCTTGGCGTCTAATAGGTTGGGAACTACTGATTTACTTAGCACATCAAATTCAACTTTGATCAAAATATGCCAACACTACACAATATAGTAATCTGAGACAATTAAATTGTTTTTCCATTACAGGAACACAGCTGCTGCTCGAGACCTGCATCCAAGAAAACGTGGCCTCCTTCATTTACACTAGCAGCATTGAGGTGGCTGGTCCCAATCCCCACGGTGATCCAATAATTAATGGCGATGAGGACACCCCTTACTCCTCCTGTCTTAAGTTTAGCTACAGCAAAACCAAGCAGGAGGCTGAACAGATTTGCCTTCAGGCCAATGGAGAGCTGCTCCGTAATGGAAATCATCTGGCTACCTGTGCACTGAGGCCCATGTACATCTATGGACCAGGCTGTCGATTTACTTTAGGCCACATGAGGGATGGACTCCGCAATGGAAATGTGCTGCTGAGAACATCACGACGTGAGGCGAAAGTGAATCCTGTATATGTGGGAAACGCAGCCCTGGCACATATGCAAGCAGGTCGGGCTCTCAAAGATTCCCAGAAAAGGGCTGTGGTGGCTGGAAACTTCTATTACATCTCAGACGACACGCCTCCTGTAAGCTACTCAGACTTTTACTATGCTGTTCTTTCACCATTAGGCTTTGGGATACAAGAGCGGCCCATTCTGCCCTTCTCACTTCTGTATCTTCTGTCGTTCCTCATGGAATTACTGCACATTGTGCTCCGACCCTTCCTGAAGTTCACTCCTCCCTTAAACGGGCAGCTACTGACCATGTTAAACACACCCTTTAGTTTCTCGTATCAACAGGCCCACAGGGATTTTGGATATAGCCCTCGCTATGACTGGGAAGAGGCACGTAAGTGCACCAGTGACTGGTTAGCATCTGTCTTACCCACAGAGAGACAATGAATCAACTTGACATAAATTAACAGCATGTTTAAAAACGGTCATGTTCTGCATGATGTTTTATTTTAAACTTTTCTAATTAGATCCGTGTGTGTGTGTGTGTTAGTTTGGCCATTTACAGCTCTTTGGGAATGTGTTTGAAAACTCCAAATGAGGCGAGGTTGGTGAAACTGGTTAGCATCTCCCTGAGGAGGGAGGGGACCATTTGACATTTAGCACCCATATAATTGTAACGTCTGGGACCAGGGCTGTAATTTATATGCAAATGTCAAAAGCTAAAAGGGGTCTCTTAAGCCATAAACATCCAACGCTCATGCATGATTCTACGCAGACGCTACACATGGTATTAGAAAACAATTGCTGTCTAATGTTTGGTGAATAATGCTTGTTTTATGGTCTATGGTTAAAATTACTGAATATTGTTTACACATCTCCCAAATAAAAATATCCATATGAAGTAGTACTAGCTGCTGTCACTTTCATACCAAATGTTAATTAATTAGGCCTATTGGTTATTGTTAATGTTAACAACAAAAGGCAAAATCACTCACCGCTCTTGACTGAACTTTAATTTTAAGAATTAATCGGTTTAATTTACAGTGAATTTACTGTTTTTAGTTTATTCCATTTCTGTACCTGAACGTTTTCCACCAAAGCGGTTTCTAAAACTAAATTTAGGTCTTAAGTTTAATTTATAATACTGGCTAAGCAAATTACAATGTACTTAACATTCTGGCGTTCAGTTATGTGATTTATGTAGCCTAACTTGTGTTCTCTGCATGAAGTAACGTCTGGCACAGTCACAGCCTGTGCTTATTAGAAAGCAAACAAATAGCATTAATAATTTTCCTTAGCATATGCTATGATAAATCTGAACATTTGTGTAAAATAATGGAGCATTAGGTCATGAATATTGCCTTAAAAGTCATTAATTTATTCATTGAACATACCCTGCATTTAATGAGGGAATGCCTAAGATATAGGAGTTGGCCTACCACACAAACTAGAGTCCTGTTTTTCCGAATATCTGCACAATGGCAAATGTACAATAAACACGGACACAAAATTCTGTTTTGCCTCATCAATGCGTCTCTGAGCAACACAGTGTTCGGTTTCTCAGCATTACACGGACCAGTAAATGGTTCAAACAGGCTATAATACAGTCATTTGCTAAGTTAAATGAATTAGCGTTTTAAACAAATCATTAAGACAGTCACTTGCTGCCACCTACTGGTGGTTGTAGTTTCATATTTGAAAAAGTAGCTAGTTTCATTTTTGCAATTTAATATTTCTACATTAAAATGTTGTATTAGACTTAACATAACTTGTGCAAAATCCATCTATGGATTTTGTTTATAGGGATTTCATTTTATTGTTAATAGCCAACATGTTTTTTTAATTCAGATTGAATTTATTAAATTTAAGAATCTGACATAAAAAGACACCGATATGACAATACATTTTCATAATACATCTCTTTGGTTTTTTCTGCTCCGTGTTATTTCAGGGTTTTGATTTCTCAACTGAGAGATCACATCTTGTTTATTGTATTAAAGTGACTATTTAATATCACATCTAAACTTTGACGAGGCTAGACATGTTGCCTATTAATTGTATACAGTATATGAACCTGAAAGCATAATTACATTTTTGTGCATTTTGTGTTACTCCATAATAATGTTCTAGTTGAGAGCATTTGTAGTATAGGTATGGGGCCCAAACATAACCTCAAGCCCAGGGGCCCCCGGCCCAGTAAGTCCTGCCCTTTGATCCCGCCTCACTCTGGTACTCCTCCTCAGCCTGATCCAGCTCGTATGGTATTTTGCAAAGTGGAGGAAAGTGGAGAGCGGGCCACCTCCAGAAGCTCTTCCTCTTTTTCTCCTCTCTCCCTGCCTCCTTTCTCCTTCCATCCCCCAACAGGCATCTCATACAGACGACGACTCGACGAGGATGGTTCTCCTCAATGATGGTGGTGTATTAGTACACAGTGTTCGTGAATTGTGTACTACACACTCCATATCAGTCGCTTGTTTGTTATATTGCCCCATGATATGACCTTCACTCCCTAAAATCTGAAAACTCCTAAACTTCAGGCTACCAGATTTTTTTCCAAGTATTTAAATACTGTAATAAGCGGCACGTTCTAACTGTCACATAATTCTAAAAATACAAATATTAAATTTTGCTTGAAGTACCAAAAAAAACCTCACGGACTTGTGACGTAATAGAGGTGCTGACGTGAATAAAGGCCCGTTCACAGTTCACACCACGCAACTATAAAGATAATGATAAAGATATAGTTCTAAAAATCGTTCTCAGTATTAAAGAATAGCAGAGTCCACACCACAGCTATAACGACAAAGGCACAGAGAAACGATATTGTTGGAATCACTTTCAGAACTATTTTTTTCAGCTGATGAACGATAGAAACATCGACACCCAATCAGAATCAATCCTGCTGTCTCGAGCTCGAGAATTTAAAGCGGCAGACGAGCATGGCAGCATGCGCTCGTTCGCTGGTGTGGACGCTAATCTTTATAGTTATCGTTCTTGGTATATTTATATTGTATAAATATAGTCGCGACAGGGTACTTTAAGTTTTGGACATGTTAAAACGACAAAGAAACGAATGAATGAGAAAAAGAGCTGAAAACGGCTCGATATTAAATTAATGAGTTAAGCTCAAAAAGCCGCTAAAAGAGCAGCCATCTTTTCCGTCCTGGCACGTAGGCCTATTCACGTAAACATATCAATATCATTGTAGCGAAGAGCTACCTGAATTATTAGGGCTAGTAAAGTATCGTAGTGAACCAGGTGTGTCGGTCGCTAATCTTTATAGTTATCGTTCTTGGTATATTTATATTGTATAAATATAGTCGCGACAGGGTACTTTAAGTTTTGGACATGTTAAAACGACAAAGAAACGAATGAATGAGAAAAAGAGCTGAAAACGGCTCGATATTAAATTAATGAGTTAAGCTCAACAAGCCGCTAAAAGAGCAGCCATCTTTTCCGTCCTGGCACGTAGGCCTATTCACGTAAACAAGGACCACTTTTTGTAGCGAAGAGCTACCTGAATTATTAGGGCTAGTAAGGTATCGTAGTGAACCAGGTGTGTCGGTCAGAACACACAGAGGGGAGCATAGCCGCGGGAACGTATTTTGAGCTGGGGGGCTGACAAATAAAACGGGGGTGGGGGGTCACGTGACAAGATCCAAAGTGCAACTTTTGATAAAACTTTCATTTATTCGTTTAATAGCCTACAAGTGAGTGTCTTTGTTGCTGGGTTTTCATTAAAAAACAACAATGAACCACAAACTAAGCATTCGTTTTAAATAAGGGAAAATACCTTATTTATTTGGGTTACAACCGCTATATCCATCTTATTCATTTGGTCAATGCAAGGTAGATGTTTAATATATGCGAATTTGCCTTTGTACTATTTTATGGCTGATGTGGTTTAATTAATAAGATAATAAACCACAAACTACGAACGTTGTAAGGTAGCCTGAGGGGAAATCCATATAGGCTATTTATTTGTGTTAAACGCTAGTAAAACATGGGCTATCCTTATTTATTTTGTTAATAAAAGTTCAAAGTTTAATGTTTTTTGTTGTTGTTGTTGTTTTCGATTAATAATAATGAGCCATAAGCATGCATTTAAAGTAAGTGGAAATCCAAAAACCTTACATTTATTTGTGATACAACGCGGGTACATCAGTCTTATTCTGTGGCGTAGCAAGTCAGCCCTGGGCCCACATGCAAAAAATGTGTACGCCCACCCCCCTAAATGTTATGGGCTCCAACTCGGTTAACTTAACTTAGGCCCTATTGTTGATTTTTCGGAAGTAAATAAAGTTACGTGAATCGTGACTATTCACAAGCTGTTTTCTTTAGGGTAAGCTATAGGCTAATGCTTGGAAATGTTGTTTAAAGTTTTCAAGTCCATTCATTATTTGTAGCATGCAAGCCACTCAATAATCGCAGCTTTGCGCTTTGTTACTACAAAGTCTAAGCCTTCTGTCAATTTTATGATAAAATACAAACAACAAAAGTCTTTTTACGCTCTTTAATTTGTAGTGTGAATTTGCCTCAGTTCAAGCTGCATATTAATCAATTATATTTTCTTCTTTAATATTTGCAGCACGATGTGAATGCATGTTGAAAAAAATCTGAACAACTTAATACAAACGAATCGATCAATCAGAGTTTTTAAAAAAGTCAAAAGAATGATGGATGCCACAGACTTTTTTTTTTTTTTGGAGGAGTAAAACTAATGTTTTCTGAGTTGATGCTGACTATCCATCCTCATTGGACGTGCCTTTAGAGAGAAATGCATCTTTACGGATTACAAAATGAAAGAGTTTTTGTTTTCGATTTGAATTATTTCATTTTAAAATAGTAAATTTAAACTCTTTTCTGGGAGCGTCCAAGGCTTTTTCGCGCTGATGGCCTGCACCCCAGCAGAGTCGGAGCGGAACTCATGTCTGACAACATCTCCAGGATGCTTATGACTAAGTCAAATCTCAAATAACTGCCCTGATGACTTGTGTTCTACCCGCTTAAATTATAGAAGTACTTGCGCTGTACAATCTATAAAGACTGTGTCTGTTCCCCGAATAGTGAGGTCAAAATATACATTTAATGTAGGATCTAGAAAAAATCTGATCGTGATTAAACCAGAAAAATTTTAAATAAATGAACAAAAACTATTTTTAAAGTTTTGGCTCCTAAACATTAGATCACTCTCACCCAAAGCAGTTATTGTAAATGAAATGATCACAGA